GTGTTCGCTATACATATTTCCCTGCCTTTAGTTGTTAGTTAATCGTATTTATTTGAAGGTAAATCACGGTCAACAATGTAAGGGACGTATTTCAGACTTAGATTAATTAAATAATTGAGAAATGTTTTTGGAGTATTGCCGCATTTAGTTAAATTAGTTAAATTTTTAGCAAATATTATATTTATTTACGTACCTATATAATTTTGTCAGATGAAGTTGTATTGTCTTTTGATATTCACATCGAATTTAAGAAAACAATAGTCACAAAAAAACCAAATGAATATATGATTATAATCGGAGAAGCCAAAATATAAACATCAGAAGATTATATGTATTATTCACTAAACCCTGACAATTAACCAAATATCTCTGTGTTTTTATTTTGATATATCGATGGGAAAAATGATAACAATACATAAAGAAGGTGAACCTTACCCGAAACAAATAAACCAAGAATTAATATTTATAAAGAAATGATAGACTTTTTTGATGGGATACGTAAATAAGCGTAAGTTTGAATTAAAACATAGAATTCTTGTTGAATTGAAGAAATATTTTTGTTATTGTCTTTACTGAACAACGCTGCGATTAAAAGTATAAATGATCATATGGAATATACTGAATACATTATTGAAAAGAATAATTAGAAGCAATACAATAATACGAAGGTTTTTTGTCAAGAAGATTTTATATTGTGATCGTAACATTTATCTAAAACCGTAACAATTCCAATTGTTAATGATTACTAAAGATTTGAATTTAGAAACTATAGCGTTCGTCGTACAGATAATTAATCTGCTGGGATAAAAAATTATATTAATGGTCAAACGATTAATTCTAGTTATTGTTCTCTATTGTTTGTCTTTATCAATATCAGAAATCAACTTACTCGAAATACGTGAATACATTATAACGCGAAAATTGATATTGTTAAATTTGAAATATTATTTGATCAAATTAGAAAACAATAAAAATAAATTGAGAGAAATTTTAATCTGCTATTGTTTTAATTACAATATTTATCAAAAATTTTAAAATTGTTATTACTCATCAAGTCTCTATAAAAAGAATTATTACTCTCAAGCATTATTTTCCTACACGAACAAAAAAATTTTTTTTAATATCGCTTTATCATTGAATTTAATTATGGTAAAGTTATGAACTGTATGCTTTTAAAACTGAAATAACAAAGATAAATATTTCAGAAATTTAATTGACATTAGAAAATTTTTAATCTTTTTTAGTCTGAAACAATTGAAACAATGGATGAAGTAAAAAAGGAAGAATCTTATGAAATATTCAATGAAATTATAAAAATTCAAAATATTCCAAACAGTTCAGTTATATCCAATGAAGATATTTACAAATTTTTTATTAAAAAGGGAATTTTGTCAACAGAAGAAGATCCTAAGATCTTGATTAAGCATTTTGTTGGCAAGTACAGAAGAAAGAAACTCGACAGTTACCATTTAAAATATGAAGAATTCCATAATATGTCAAATGCATTTCCAGCAATCAAAGATTATATCATGGAAATGCGTAATGATAAAACTAAGATTAATCAATCATTAAATAACTGACGTAAAATATGTGTACTTTCAATTATATCACTTTTTTTTATTAAATTATTTATCTTACTTAGCTAGACGTTCTCTTCTTTAAATCTTTTAAAAGATATAATAATATATAATAAAATGATCTCTAGCTAGTCTTCTAAGAAAAGTTTGAACTGAGGATAAGAGAATTTTGTTTAATGTTATTAATTTGATGTGGTGAATATTAATCAATCTGTATTTTGTTAAGTTATTTGTTAGAATATTACGTAATCAATTATTAATGTGCTTAAGAGTAATATTTAAATAAGCAATGAATTTCTATTTCACTAATCTCATTTCAATGAAATTTTTTATATGGATGGAATAATTTTGTTTGATAAATCAATTGAAAAACTTCGTGACAAGTAGTTCAAATCTTTAAAGAAAAATTAGGTGCTCAAAAAGTAGGTCATACAGGAACTTTAGATCCTTCGGTTTACCGGCTTATTGAATATTTTGATTAATAGAGCTACTAGGTTGAACAATTTAATTTTTTTGAATAAAGACAAAGCTTATAATGTAAAAATTCAATTATTTATTGAAATGGACACTGGATTATTATTGGTCAAATTATTAAACAAAAAGTAATAAAAATTAACAAAGAATGTTACGTTAGTCAAATATTTTTATCTTTTAATAACTTTATTTATTAATAAATCACACTCTATATTCGGCTATAAAAATAAGAGAAAAAAGTTATATGAATATGCCCATAAAAGTAAAAATAAAATCAATAAAATTGATAAATTATGACAAAGATAAGAGAGCAATAAAGTTTTTAATGAAGCGTAGTAAATTAACTTATTCAAAAAATCCTTTCTTTCTAAAAAGGAGCGATTTTCTTGAAAAAAAAAAAAACTTCAAATTATTTATTATTTTAATAACAAAAAAATAAAATAAATAAATAATTTTTTAAAAAAAATCCTGTAAATAATTATTTATGTGCTCACTATAAAACCTTACTTTATTGAAATTTCCTTGCCAAATTTATCTTATCTTTCAAAAAATCAGCGAGGTTCAGAATCAAAAATGGAACCACCCATCGTTATTTTGTGAATATTGTTGGGTTCTACTTTATCTTTGATTTCTTATTGTGTTGGGTTAAAAAGTATTTTAACAATATAAATTTTAATTTATATATTAATTCGAGACAATAAATATTATTAATAATACTAGAGGAACACAATTGTATTATGTTTTTAATCAATTGGTAAATTCCAGATGACGATGTAGCTACAATCAACTGCTGTATTATTAGTCTGCTGACTATAATAAACAGTTGAGTGAATACGAAACTGATTACAATAATAGTCAAGAAATAAATATATCAACACTTGATACTGGCTTTGAAAAAAGATATAAAAACGGTGTTAAATGTAATAGAAGATGAGCTCGTTAATGTAAAAACGAAAAAAGAATAAATTAAACTTGAAATTAAAGATTTAGAAGAAGTAAAGAGTACGAAAAAAAGAGGAGAAAGATATTCCATTGATTTCGGTTAAAGTTAGGGAGGAATAATATTTCTATTATTAATTTTAGCTTTATCCTATTTATTAATTTTTACTATTACTGAGGTAGAATTACTAATTCAAGGCGCTCTATCTAAAAATAGACAACTCTGAAGATATTCAATCGAAACAAATTATCATCTTACTCTCAAAGTATCTTCTATTGGATAACATTAAATTTGATGGATGCAGGTCTTTCTTTTTCTTCGAAATATATATAATAATATTTTATCAGTTAATATTTTTTTTTCAATATTTTAATGTAAATATGTATGCCATGATGATGTTTGAGAAAAAATTATTGCACCAATTTCGTAATCCAAAAGTAGATTTTATTCTCCTTTTTCCTCATCTTTCATTGCTTTTCTAAAATGATACATTTAGACCTGTACATAATCACCACTTGCTTGTCTATAATCATCCTTTTTTTTGGTGGTCCCAAATTTTTCATATTTATTTTTCTCTATATGTATATTTATTTTATATACAATCAATATCACCTCTAAATATGATATAATTCATAAGAAATTATATATAATACTTCTTTCATATGAAATTATATATGGATAATTATATGGATTGTAGATTACTATCTGTTATTTGTATTTTTTAAATTATGTTTCATTATATCTGATTTTTGACTTGTTTTCTAGTATCTAAGTTATATTATTTGTCCTTTATTGCATCACATGTTCATATTACGTTTGTATACCTTTCAATTTATCAATTTATCAACTTTCCACCTAAGTCAATTACTTTATCCTACTGACTGATTAATGACCTATATACAGATATGAAATTTTGAAAATATATAAATTTTAGTTTTGAAATGAATAAAAATTTTGAATTGGAAAGAATATAAATAAAAATAATAATAACTATAACTATACTATAAAATTTATAATCACATATAGGTTTTTTGTAATATCACCAAAATTTGGTCCTAAGGTGATGATCATGAACAGGTCCGACTGGACTAAACTAAAACTAACTATTCACTTTGTTGAAGAAATTATTTATGATTTATGACTTAGCAAAGATGCGGAGTTCAAGCATAGGAATCGAAAGCTTTATTCAATAAACAACTCTTTATATCAAAATTTATAAATTAAAATAAAGAAAATTATGATATAATGGATAAATATAAGTTTATTATTATTATAAATGCAATAACTATTATTTTAGAATTAATTATTTATTACAAGACTATTAGTTTTTTCTTTTATATAACTGAATGATATTAAACTACTTTGAATTATTTGAATTAAATTAAACTTAAACTTTTGAGAAATTCCTATACTTTATTATAGATAATCTTACAATTTGTGATACATTTATAACAAATACATTGATAAATATATATAATAAAAAATATACTAATAAATATAAAGATAAAATATAATATGTAAGGTAATAATTTATGGAAAATTTTACAATATCATAAATAGTCGGTCATATGACATATCATAGCCAATAGCAGATACATTATATAAAAAGGATGGAAATGCAATGTTACAATTTTATAATTTGTAGCTCCAAGAAATTAATTGTAAAAATTAACCTGGAATGAAATTTGGATAAAATCCTACATTAAATAACTCCGTATAAAAATGCTTAAAATGATAAAGCAATAATTATCATAAATAATAAATACCCCTGAAATGTTGAGCTATGAATAATTGAAAATTTCAACTATCAATCATAAAGTTATAACAAAGTCTTAAATACAATTTGAGTAGTATAACGTATAACCCTGGAAATGGATAAGTTATTAATAAAACATTAGTATGAGCATTATAAGTTACCCTGGACTTAAGTTAATGAAAGGTCCGATTCCTTTTCTAAAATAACTAAATTAGCGAAGCCTTCTATAAATAACCAAAAATAAAGTCTTGTACCTATGATGAAGGACTATAAACTTCTAAAAGAACATTAAAAAGGATCGCACGGTGGATTCTACAAGAGTAGCTAGGTGACACAGTCTATGACTATTTCCACCCTCTTTCTCTTCATTTTTTGTTGCTCCGATCCCATTTCTATAGCAACGTCCAAGGTTATATTTTCCTGTACTATTTCCCTCCTTAGCTGATTTTAAATACCACTGAAATGCTTTTTAAAATGGTGATATGTACTCGACAATAATGATAATGATAATTAGAATAATGATCCTGAAAACAGTAATGACGACGCTAACAATATTAAAGACAGTAAGTAATAACGACAACAGTAGCGAAATTAAGTCTGAAAATGAGATCAAAGATGCTTTGGTAGTGGACGAAAGAATAGAACATACGATAATGTATTCAGATATAAGTGAAACATCATCTTTATCAGCATCACCAAGATGACGATATCCTTGTGTTATTTCCGTCATCAAGTCGTCGTGTTCATCATCATAATGGTAGACATTGAATATTCCATAAATTCGAAAACAAAATGAATTACAAGATATTAATATCGCAAAATTGTAATCAAATTAAGAGATGTATTGCCGATTTTAAGAAGCGCGTCATGTTCTTTGGGAAAAGACTATTTTTTCGTATCACTTCATCCACCGAAATTATCACTCCAACAACAGCAATAACAACAACAATTCAATCAATGATCCAATTATATCAGACAAGTTGAATTCATCAAATACTAAATTGAATTCTTTGACTAATTAAAATCAATCACAAACAAACGAGGCAAATTAAATCAATTAAAGAAATGTGACAAATATGGGCAAATAATACAAATGAATAAGTAATAGAAATGTCGAAGATCGAAATGATCTTAAAAACAAGTTCCCGCAAAACCACTTCGTTGTTCACCCAATCAATATCGCAAGAACCCAAGGTAATATATGTACAACGTCGTCATCCATTAATAATATTATTAATAATGATAGAAATAATAAATGATAATATTAATAATGGAAATAATAGTAGTAGTGGACCACAACAAAAATTCATTACGAACAAATACAAGATCTCTCAAAAATAATACAAATAAGAATACTGGTGGTGGTTCAAAGTCCGATAGTTCATCTTAATTGTTTTCTAATGGTGTGCTAATTTAAACAGTTTAAATAATATCAATACCAATATTAAGACGAATAATAATCGTCGATTTGTTTGGATTTTTTACCTTCAAGATAAATGAAAGAAACAAGAAAGACGGAAGAAATGAAAGAAAAAGAATTGGAAGAATCGAGTGAATTGGAAGAGTAAGCATATTGTTACATTAAGCTTTATTTTAAAATCATAATTTATTTCTAATAATACTTTCATACATTTCTAATTTTCTAATCAATTATAAACTAATCAACATAAACAATATTACAGCATGTGAGTATTTAGGTTCATAATTATTGAAATCAATGTTTCAATTTAATTTAATATCATATAACAATTCTCTAATCAATTACAAACTAATTAATATAAGTAGTCGGTGAATATTTCGATTCATAATTATTGAAATCAATGCTTCAATTTAATTCAATATCATATAACAATTTCTCTAATCAATTATAAACTAATCAATATAAATTATATTACAGCGAGTGAGTATTTGGATTCATAATTATTGAAATCAATGTTTCAAAATCCTCTAATCTAATCAATTAAAAACTAATCATATATATATTATTAGTAAGCATTTAGATTTAAATCAATTTTTCAATTTAGTTTTAATATCAAATACTAATTCTTTAATTAATAATGTTTATTAGTGATTTTAGATGGTACAGTGAATGTGATCAAATTAAAGCTGGAAAAAATTGGTGTCATCCATGTAATGTCAAACGATTTCAAAATGAATTTGATAAATGGACAAGTGAAAATAGAGAAATTGATTAATTTATTCATCACAGCTAAAGGCAAAAAAACATCAAGAAGTTATTGAGTGGATTCCATTTGACAGACTTAAGAATGCCACATATCTTGCTAAAGGTGGTTTTGGCACAGTATACAAAGCAAAATGACTTGTTAGATTTATTGAGCCTTGGGATTGTGAAGTGGAAAATTGGAAAGGTCTAAAGAACAATATGTTTGCCTAAAAGGTCTTGATAATTCCACAAATATCAATGGATATTTGCAAGAGATGGATATTTTAGGTTATTTAAATTCATTTACAGTATTTTAAATATATAATAATTTTATGCTAATAAATATTTTAGATTAAAAATCAGCTTAAATTTCGAGGCAAAAATGCAATTGCAATATATGTTATCACTAAAAATCCAACAAAAAATGAATATATGATAGTTATGAACTATGCAAATTATAATAATCTTCGAAAACTGTTAAATGACAAGTTTGAAAAATTAACTTGGAAAAATAAATGTCATATTTTATCAATTATTGTAAATGGAATTACAAATATCCATGAAATGGGCTTAATACATAAAGATTTTCATTCTGGTAATATAGTTAATCAAACTTTAACTCACTGTTATATTACTGATTTTGGACTGTGCAAACCAGTTTCAGAAAATGATTCAGAAAAAAGTTTTGGCGTAATTCCATTTTGTATGGCACCTGAGATATTGAGTAAAGGAGAATACACTAAAAAATCTGATATTTATTCTTTTGGCATGGTTATGTTAGAAGTTCTAACTAGTTATCCACCATATTATAAAATTCCACATGATGAAATTCTTGTAATGAATATCTGTGAAGGGCTTAAACCAGAAATTAAGTGTTAAATTCCTCAATTTCTCAAGCAAATAATGGAAAAAGGTTGGAATTTTGAACCTCACAATCGACCAACTGCTAAAGAATTGAAATCTCAACTTGATAAATATTCTTATGATGATGAAATAAAAGAACAAGTAAAAATCCAAGTTACAGCAACAAATGAATCAAACAAGAATTTTATTAAATATGATCCAAAAGAAATGCATCCTGAAGCAATATATATAAGTAGACTCATACCTAAACTTACAATTCTTAAATGTGATGCATTTACTGAATATGATACATTTAGTAAGTATATTTTGTTTGAAATAAATTTTATTTACTCTTTTTTTCAGAAAAAAAATTTATATCAATTATTATTTAGATTCAAGACAGCAATTTTTTTCAATTCCTGACAATAAGATTGGTAAATTTATTTTTTTAATTATTTGTTTTATATATTTAATATCAACTATGTTTTAAATTGTATATGTATAGTTGAAGATGAAGAAAATGAAACTTAAGAAATGGAATGTAAATTTAATAACTAGGAATCATTTAAATTGAATATACTAATTTTTTATTTTATCTTATTATTATTATATTTGATATATAATTATTTTATTATTTGTGTTTATACAGTTTAAACTATTATTTGAATAACTTTCATACCCAAAGAATTCTTAATAAATTTGTGCAATTAAAATTTCTTATGCCAATTTCGAAGAAAACAAAACTGAAAATACTTATGTTACAAGAAATTCTAATTTTCTACAATCTATCGCATACCAAAACTTACTATTATCATTTTTATCCTTGATATCATAGATATTTGCAAGATCATTTCCGCTTGGAGCTTGATATTTAATTGTTCCTATTAATAAAACATCATTAAAATAAAACAATATGAATATAAATTTTATTCGGAATTTTTACTTACCAAGAAAATCGTGCAACGTTTTTTGAATGCATTTCCTACGTGAATCTAAGATAATGCAATTCTCAGTTCCTGTTGGCGAAGCTTTCATAATAATCGTATTAATAATGACAAGTTTATTGTCATCAATTTGGATATGCCTCGTATGCACCTTCAGGAAATTTTATTAGGCGAAAATTTGCGCAAGTTTTTTGTGCATTTTTTTCCGTTTCTTAGGTATTTCTAAGATAGATAGAATAGTCTTGTTCTTAGCTACAAATGGTATGTGTTTCATTTCTGTAGCATCGATATTCGCGGAGATCGCACGGTTTAAAGAGCAACATTTATGTGCGGAAATTTGCGCGGAATATTTGCATGATTTTTCACAAATCTTTTTCTTTAAACCGTGCGATCTCGATGCTACAGAAATGAAACACGTTCCATTTTGTAGCTAAAAACAAGACTGTTCTATCTATCTTAGAAATATCTTGGAAGTATATCCCTCTGTGCCTCTCTAATCGCGAGCGAAGTCGAAAAAAGAAGGAGATAATATTAATTATTATTTCCTAATTTAAAAATGTAAATATATATCAAAAATTTTAAGAATACAATGAAATAAATAATAAATTTGAAATTATAAAACATACCAGTCGCGGATTTATTATTTATTATTTCATCACATCATAATCGTTTGAATATTAAATTCTAGCCTCTTTGCAGATGATGATCTACAATACTCATTGCTTGCTATATTTAAGATTACAATATTAACAATATATTTTGATAGTGGTAACGGGTTAATTTTATTTGATTTAGTTAGTTATTAGTGGAGTTAAGGTAAAATTGGGTCAAGATGATCAAATTGGAATTGCTATCGCTGAATATTGCAGCTAGAATTCGATAAATATTTTTACTCAAGCATATATTAAATGCATCAAAGCAATTTTCATCTAACGTAAATATGATAATTACTGTTTTTTAAAGAAGCAAACTTTTACCTACAAGCGAACAAAAAAAATATCATTTGAAAATATGCCCCGAATGCAACCAAAAATATATTAACTGGTGGTGCAAAACCATGTAGCTCGAAACATTTCCAAAATGATTTGATAAATGGATAAGTGGAAATAACACAATATATAATCTTATTCGAGATGCTCACATAAATTCAACTGATGGGTATGAAGTAACAGAATAGATACATTATGATAGATTAGAAGATATTAAAGAAATAGCAAAAGGTGACTTTGGATCAATATATAAGGCTAAGTGGATGATGAACGAATTTTGGGACGGGATGCAAAAAATCAGCAGTGGAAAAGACTGGGTCAACAAAATGTAGCATTAAAAAGGGCTGATAATAATTTTTCAAATTTAAATGAAGACTTCTTAAATGAGATAAAGTATTTTTAATTCAGATACAGATTTATTTTTAAATTACATATTATATTAACATTAATTAAAAAATATATATTATTAGATAGCAATTCACTTAAAGACAAGGAGTGGATCTGCTTCGATTCAAATTTATGGAATTGCACAAGATCCAGAAACAAACGAATATATTTTGATCTTAGAATATATGGATGATGGAATCTCAGAGATTATTTGAAAAATAATTTCAGTAATATTAATATTATTTATATCAATTAGCATCTGAACTGATTTTAAAAATATTCATAAATTAGATATGATACATCACGATTTTCATTATTTTATCATATGAATTTAATAATGATATGTAGTTATTCATTATATATTTCAGATTTTGGTTTAAGTAAGTTAATAGGACTAAAGCCAAAAAATTCTAAAAAGAGACAAATTTTTGGTGTATTGCCATATAGCTCCAGAAGCACTTAGTGGAGAAGAATATACCAAAACAGCAGATGTTTATTCTTTTGGTATTATAGCTTATGAGATAGTTACTGGTTGGTTTTGCACCATACTATGATATCCCACATGACAAAGATTTAGCTAGACAAATATGATGTGACGGATTACGAAAAAAATTCCATTTTATATTCCAAAATTAATTGTTACTCATCGACCCACATTTTTAGAATTGAAAAAAGAATGCAGAAATATTATAAAGACTAAAAGATTATAAGAAAATAATTTTAAAAATTCTAATGAAATTATGATAATTCTGAAAAATTATCCAAAAATCACAAATCAAAAAATTCAACAACTCCAACTCCCAGAAGCAATTTATACCAGTATACTTCTCAATTATACATATCTTCCAAACCTAAGAATGAAGAAAATTTTGAAAATAAACTTTAAGAATTAATGAAATCTACTTCTGCTTTAAGTATTGGTAAATATAAATTATATTCTAGTATATTTATTTTTTTATAATTAAAAACTATTAATTTATTTTAGTTGTATCTGATTTATATGTACATATTGTTACTCTTCTAAACTTTTAACTTTGTAGAAGGATGACGGTGACTAAAACTTAAAATATTAAACTAATTTACTACTTTATAACTCACACAAATATAACCTAAGCTAAGAATTTATAAAATTAAGAAGAGTTTATGTAAAGGAATTATATATGGTCAATTGTGAAAGAGGCGATTTAACTATTAACAGTGGTATGAGGACTTATTAATAGGCAGTGTATTAATTAACATTTAACACTTTAACAAAATTAGAACTGTAATGCGAAAGTGTAGTGATTTATTTGTAACGATTTATTTTTATTTCATTTATTTTAACATTTATTTATCTTTTTTGAATATGCTTGTACCATTCTGGAATAGGTCTATGACCTAAGATATATATATTATTTATATTTATTATTATGTAATATTATTTATAGAAACAAGTATATAAGCATATGTATTTTTATTTAATAAAGAGTAGTCTTGCTCCTTATTTTTATTTAATTATAAAAATTTGTCTTGCTCTGGATAGAGCCTGTAATTATATTATACTCTGGATAGAGTATCTATTAATTATCACTTTGGATTAAGCATTTAATTAATTTGAAGTAAGAGGATTCTTACAGAAAGAATATTTTATTACAATTCTAAAACTTGAACTCTAACTCTGAACTGAACTATCTAAATGAACTAACTCACTAACTGTTGAAACTTGGAAGAATTTTTAGCCTTTATATACATTGTAATTTTAACCTAATTCTATGTCTGTAACTATGTCTATATAATGGTCTGTATTTATGTCTGTAAGTATGTCTATAGTTTATCCGGTACTTATGTCCAAAGATATATCCTCTAAATCTATGCCCGTACTACAGACTTACATGTTGTTACAAGAAATTTGGATAATAGATATTTTAAGTAATAATAATAATTCGTATTACATATTTGAAATTGATCTACTAATAACTATAGATTTTTTTTTTTATATCCAACGGAGTCTTGCTCCAATAAACTTTATTAATAGATTAAGTGTAAATATTAAAGATACAGATAATTTATTTTACATTTATTGAAACTGACTAAAAATAAAATTTTACGGTCCGACTCATCGTTGCCTAAGTATAACCTCAGGAACTTACTAATAACTATAGATAATAAGATAAATAATAAATAAATAATGGTAAAAATGATAATATATAAAATAATAAAAATATAATAAATAATAAATAATTAAGAATAAAATAAGAAAAAGACGTAGGAAAGCAGGGTAACAATATTTTTAAATTTATTTTTATAATTATTTTATATTATTACATTTAAGTATAATATTATTACATTTTATGTCTCAGTTTATCTTTTAGAGGTATCTTTGCAGTTGAGATTTTTGACTTTAATAAATCATTGAATCTTGTTTTAATTAATATTTCAATAAATAACTCGTTATAAATCAAATAATATTTAATACATATTTTCCATTTATTCTTATTCATTTTATTTACTTTATAAAAAATGTAACCACTGCCAATAACCTTACCAACTTCTTGAAGCTGATTATTTATTGGGAATTAATTTCACAATACACTTAAAAATGACATTGCTAAATTACATCCTCTAATTTTGACTTATTTTCTATTATCTAAGTTATATTTTTTGTCATTTAAAAGACAACATTGCTTCACATGTTCATATTACCTACTGATCTTTCCTTTGTACGCCTTTCAATCTATCTACTTTTAACACTTTATCTTACTTGCTAATTAATAGCCTATCTATATGCATGAATTTTGAAGTAACTGAAGTAAATATATTAAATTTTATGTACATTGTTACCTACCTGGGAGAGCAAGCTTTACTAATTTATAGTGGTTTAGCTTGGTAGTGAACTTGTGTTGGTTAAATTATGTGAATTATTATAAATATTAAAAATAAAATATAAAATATAGAAAGATTCAATTAAACAAGAATAATGTTAATTTATCTAAATAATTAACCAACAGATATCAATAAATATCAAATAACTAAATCAATAATCAAAATACTAATTCAATAAAACTAAAATAATTGTAAAACTAAAAACAATAAAAAATCAATAAATCAAAATAAAAGATTAAAAAGTGAGTTTGGTATACAGTGTTCCTTTAGTTATTTCAACAATACTTTAAGACAAAAGTATAAAGTAATTGTTATTTTTATTAAAATAAAAGAAATATGAATTGTATGAAATTAACAAACTGACTTGGACAAGGTAATTTCTCTTGTCTTTATATACTTGTTTCTTTCTAAGGTACAGGACTTTAATTAAGGCACTCAACCTCTTTTAGAGTCCAGGGATATTCAAACCTCTATTGAGAAACTGTGCCTTCTTCAAGGTGTTCTTGATTAACAAAACCAAGTACCTTGATTATGGTATAAGAAGATCAGGACTCTAATTGAGGTACTTAGGTCCTCTTTGATAATCAATTAACCTTTTATATCTTAACTATTCTAAAGTTAATAATTATTATTACAATCTAAGATGCTAGTTTAATTAACTAATTATTCAAGAATAGAATAACCACATAAATATGTCAATTCTAAAAATAATTACTTAGTAATAACAAATAATAAATAATTAATCAATAATAAATAATAAAATATGACAAGAAAGAATTATAAATATTAACAATAAATAAATAAAAAAAACTTCCAACAACAATAAATTCTAATTTTGAAATGAATAAAAATTTTGAATTGGAAAAGAGTATATAAATAAAGATAGTAATAGTATAACTATAAAAAGTTATAATCACTGGCGATTATACTGTATATAGGTCTAACTGATCTAAACTAACTATTCACTTTGTGAAGATTACACATATCAACAAGAGAGTTATCTAATAAGGTTAAATTAAGATGAGTTATTTATAGAAAGAGAGTTTAAAGCACATCAAGTTAGTTTATGATTTAGCAAGATGTGGAAATCAAGTACAGGAATCAAAAGGCTTTATTCATTAGACAACTCTTATATCAAAGTTTATAAAAAGGATTATTACGATATAATGGATAAATATAAGTTTATTATTATAAATGTCATAACAATTATTTTAGAATCAATTATCCATTACAAGACTATCTAATTGAATTATTTAAACTACTTGAACTATTTTGAAATGAGCTAATTTGGACTTTCTTTTTGAACTTAAACTTTCTAGCCCTCGCTAATTCTTTGCTGTAGATCATTATCTATAAAAATCTACACATTTATAATCAAATAAAAATATACTAATATATATAAAGATAAAATATATAATATGTTAAAGTAATAATTTATATTAAAATTTTGTATCACGATGTCATAAAAGTAATAGATAACATGTCATTACAAAAATGATAGAAGTTAAACAGTCTACAATGTTATGGCTTTATAATTTGTAACCCCAAGAAAATTAAATAAAACCTACATTAAATAATCCTGTATAAAATAAATGAAATGTTCAAATGATAAAGTGATAATTATCATGTTGATTTGAAAGTTTCAGCTACAAATTGTAGAGCCGAGCCGATAACAAAGTCATAAATACGATTTGAGTAGTATAACACCGGAAATGGATAAGTTATTAATAAAATATTAGTACGAATATTATAAGTTGCCCTGGACTTAAGTTAATGAAAAGGTCTGATTCCCTTTTGAAAATAACTAAACCAGTGGTGACTTCTACAAATAACCAAAAATAAGGTCTTGTGCTTTTGAGGAAGGGTATAAATTTCTAAACAAACTACAAAAAGGATCGCGCAATGGATTTTACAAGAGTAGCTAGGCGACACTGTCCATAACTATTTCCACCTTCGGCTGATTTTAAGTACCACTGAAGTGCTTTCTCTTTATTTTTTTTTGTTCCGATCCCATTTCTATAACAATATCCAAGATTATATTGTCCATAACTATTCCCACCTTCAGCTGATTTTAAATACCACTGAAATGCTTTCTCTTTATCTTTTGTTATTCCAATCCCTTTTTCATAACAATAACCAAGGTTAACTTGGCCATTACTATCTCCATCTTCAGCTGATTTCAAGTACCACTGAAATGCTTTTTCTTTATCTTTTGTTATTCCAGTCCCATATTCATAACAATAACCAAGACCATTCCATCCATAATTATTTCCCCCTTCAGCTGATTTCAAGTACCATTGAAATGCTTTCTTTTTATCTTTTTTTGTTCCGATTCCATTTTTATAACAACGTCCAAGATTATATTGTCCATAACTATTTCCACCTTCAGCTGATTTTAAGTACCACTGAAATGATTTTTCTTTATCTTTTTTTGTTCCAATTCCATATTCATAACAATAACCAAGACCATTCTGTCCATAATTATTTCCCCCTTCAGCTGATTTCAAGTACCATTGAAATGCTTTCTTTTTATCTTTTGTTGTTCCAATTCCAAACTCATAACAACGTCCAAGATTATATTGTCCTGTACTATTTCTCTCTTCAGCTGATTGCAAGTACCACTGAAATGCTTTCTCTTCATCTTTTGTTGTTCCAATTCCACATTCATAACAATAACCAAGGTTAACCTGGCCGTTACTATCTTTATCTTCGGCTGATTTCAAGTACCACTGAAATGCTTTTTCCTTATCTTTTGTTGTTCCAATTCCAAATTCATAACAATAACCAAGACCATTCCATCCATAATTATTTCCACCTTCGGTTGATTTTAAGTACCATTGAAATGCTTTCTCTTCATCTTTTGTTGTTCCAATCCCTTTTTGATAACAATAACCAAGGTTAACCTGGCCATTACTATCTCCATCTTCAGCTAATTTCAAGTACCACTGAAATGCTTTTTCCTTATCTTCTGTTGTTCCAATTCCAAATTCATAACAATGACCAAGATTATTCTTTCCATAACTATCTCCTCCTTCAGCTGATTTCAAGTACCATTGAAATGCTTTCTCCCCATTTTTTGGTGTTCCGATTCCATTTTCATAACAATAACCAAGATTATTCTGTCCATCACTATTTCCACCTTCGGCTGATTTTACGTACCACCGAAATGCTTTATCTTTATCTTTTGTTGTTCCAATTCCATATTCATAACAATAACCAAGATCACCCTGTCCGTAACTATTTCCATCTTCAGCTGATTTTAAGTACCATTGAAATGCTTTCTCTTCATTTTTTGTTGTTCCAATCCCTTTTCTATAACAACGTCCGAGATTGTATTGTCCTGTACTATTTCCCTCTTCAGCTGATTTCAAGTAACGCTGAAATTCTTCCTCTTCACTTTCTTTTGTTTGCATTTCGTTGTATTGCATATTTTTTTTTTATTTCTGTTGAAATTAACTCAGCAGAATAAAGTATCTATAAAATAGAACTTTAATACTTTATATATTTTATTGAAGTTCTAAATGAAATATTTATTCTAAAGGCTTTAAAACTTTTTGATATTTCAAAAGATTTTATGATAATTAGATAGAAAAATAAAAAATTAAATAAATATGAAATTCAATACGTTATATTGCCTATAATAATATGGTATACAAATAAATTAAAATATTTGAATTTATAAAAATTTATGTTTGTTTTGTCAGATAAGTGATTGCCTCGAATAAATATTAATTGTTTTAATAGCATATTCTATATTGTTAAAAATTCCGGAATTTCATCAGCGTAAGATAAAACGATCTACATTCACATTTCTATATATATATATATATAATGCACGTGAGAATTTCTAGAATTTCTATCATTTAATTAATTACTTAAATAAGATAAACAATATAATGCATGTGAGAATTTATAGAATTTCGATCATTCAATTAATTACTTAAATAAGATAAACGATATAATGCATGCGAGAATTTCTAGAATTTCTATCATTTAATTAATTACTTAAATAAGATAAACGATATGCGTTGGCTCCTACTGTTTGATAAGCGTTTTGTTGAGCTTCTTTAAGCATTTGTTTTTGGTTATAATAAGCGTTTTTTGATTGTTGAATTCGGCTCGGAGTTGATTTATTTTTAGCTTGATATTTTTGGATTGTCTGTTCAATTTGGCGTTCAGAAGGATCATGCATTAATTTAAAAAAAAATAATAATAAATGGACGTAAACGTAGACATAATAAATAATAATGCCTTCGTAATACCATCTCCGATGTCTGTTGTGGTACAAGTTAATAAATATTCACGTTAAAAAATTCAAGCCCCCTGATTCTGAACCCTTGTTGATAACATAAATTTTTTCATTTTTATCTGTAATATTTATAATATTTTAAGTGATCTTTTGTTTCAAACGCACGAACATTATATAAAACAATGCATAATTCGAGTTACCATTGTCATTATTGTTTAGTACATATCGCCATTTTTATCTTTCATTAATGACAATAACGATATTACTGACGCTGACAATGTAAAAGACAGCAAAGTAATAACGACAATAATGAAATTAAGCTTGAAAATGAGATAAAGATGCTTTGATAGTGGACGAAAAGGATAGAACATACGTATCAGATATAAGTGAGGATGGATCAACAGCATCTTTACCAACACCACCAGGATGAGTGTGATGATGATGATGATATCCTTGTGTTAGTTCCATCGCCAAGTCGTCATTTTCATCACATCATAATGGTATGATAGATATTGACTTTGAAAAAAATGGATTACAAAATATTAATATCGCAAAAAATCTTAATCCAATTAAGAGATGTATTGCCGACTTAAATCTGTTTTCCTAACAGAATTTATCAAATTTCATGATGATCCTAAAGATCCTAAGGATTCTTTCATAAATTCTATAAATAATCATTCCACTACAAATTTATCGTCTATATATATAATTCAACCAAAAGTGATGGTGATGTTGGCAATCTATTGGATTTGAAAAAGCTAAATATCAAAACGTTATGATTCAGTAATTACTGCAGGAAAGTTATTAGATTTTCTTTAAAATTTCTACTTCCTGGTGAAACCAAAGAACGAACAAAGTTAAGCATATCATATTCCTTGGGAAAAGACTATTTTTTGTATCACTTCATCCACCGAAACTACCAATCCAACAGCAACAGAACAACAACAACAACAAGTTGAATTCATTAAATACTAATTGAATTTTTAATTAATCAAAATCGATCACAAGGCAAATAATACAAATGAAATAAGTGAAAGGAATGTCAAAGGTCGAAATGATATTAACAAAAAGTTCCCCACGAAGCTTCATCGTTTCATTCAATCAATATCGTAAGAATACAAGGCAATATGCATACAACATCATCATCCATTAATAATGATGGAAATAATAAATAAATAATAATATTAATAGTAGTAGTGAAACACAACAAAATTCATTACAAATTTTCAACAAATAATACAAATGAGAATACTGACGGTGATTCAAGGTCCAATAGTTCATCTTTATCATTTTCTAACTAATGGAGTACTAATTAAACAGTATAAATAATACCAATACCAATGCTAATACGAATAATAATCGTCGATTTGTGGAGGAATTGGACATCATGCGAATACTTGTCCTAATAAAAGATTTTACATTACAATATCTATAAATCAACAATAAAGTCGTCAAAATTTTTCTACTCTATTCAAACATAGTGCAAAACTAAATATATTGAATGAACTATATAACGATGAGAACATCTTGAATAATTTGTATAATGATGGAACATAAGAATGTATAGAATAGACTTTAAATGAAATGAATATAGAACGTACAAATATACAAAATCAGTAAATTATTCAAGAAAGATCTTATAATAATTTCATAAGATCAAAAATTATTTTTTCATATTTAATATTTTTAAAATGTTAGTACCACACGATCATAAGATAAGAGGTTATTATATATATTATATATTTGATATTGACAAATAAATCAATACATATATTAATATAATGATAAATAATACTCAAGAAATTATTAAATAACTTAATTAATTATCAGTTTCCATTCTTCCAGAAGCTTCTTTAACACTATGACCTTTATTCCATAATCTAAAAAGAGAAAGAATGAAATCAATAAAATAAAAAAATGGTATCCCTTTATATCAAGCTAGAATAAATTATTCTATGCTTATTATATACATTTGGAATTTGGAATATTTAAAGACGACCGAACATCCTGATATAATATTAGATATTATCCCACGGTCCCTAATTAGTTACCAATGATTTTTCTTTTTGATGTTTCACGGCTGATATTTTCACGGTTAATTTGCAACTCTAATATTTTTAAAAAGTTTACTGAGCTTATTGCAGTCTTTTACGCTATGAAAATAGTCTAAAAAAATCATGGATATTAGTTATTTCGCGTATCACCGAGTATATCATAATTTTCCGTGAAAATCAAATCATTGATACTTTAGAAATATAAAATAAAGTTATATTAAATAATAAGAATAATATAAATAAAAATAATATAATTTAATTTACATACCAATCATATAATTTATGATTATTAATTGAGTAAATAATCGAATAAACAGATTTGATCCAATAATCTATAATTATTCGATAATAAAATAAAAAAAATAACGAATAATTAAATAATTAAATAATTAAATAATTAAATAATTAAATAAATAATAATAATCGATAATAAATAAAATAAATAAAACAATTTTAAAATTTAGAAATTTTGTAATGACATTATTGCAAAATATCTGCAGATTTCACTTCTTTTCATGAATCCTAGTTTACCTAGTAAAGTGACTAATGAAAAATTATTACTAAACATTCTACTTTGTTATTTAAAACAATCATTTCGAATTAATTAAACGACAGTTTTATAATTTCATTGATAATTGATATTTTAACAATTAAGCTAATTAGAATTAATATACACAATAATACTGTGATCTCCATTAAATTGGTTTATATAAATTTCGTTTTATATTAAACCTAACAGTTCATCTCAAAAATGTTATCCTTCTGAAAAATCATTAATTCTGATAATTTAAAATAAAGAAATATATAAAAAGTTAAGTTATTTTACACTACATAACATATTAAGTATCTCATGAATTTAACTAAGGGTCACATGATTCTGTCATTTAAGCGGTCATGTGATCATCAGCGAAGCGACTTAGTTTTATTAATTCCTACATAATATTGGAATAAAAAATGTCCTCACTATTTTAATTCATGGCTATTTATTATATAAAATATAAAATAACTGAATTTTTTGACACCAATTCTTGTCTCATTGATCATATCTTCCATTAATACCAAGACCACCCTTTGCTATTTTTTTTAACATCTTAAAGTATCCATTCTATTACTTTGTTATATCAAATCTGTTCTGTATTTAGTTAATAAATTTATTAGTTTCACTTGTCCATTTATCAAAATCATGTGTGTTTCACAATTTGCACGAAACATTTTTTGTACGTTTATAATATGTTGGGTAATAGATTTTAGTTTTTTTAAAAAAATGTATTTGAATATACGTTGCAATGAAATTGAATCTTATTTTACGAAAAATCTTATTTTTAAAATTGAGTAATAAGTTTACATTGTATTGTGTTTTAATAAATAAATTTAGGTAAAAAGAAAAAAATTTTTTTTATTCTATAAGTTATTTTCAGAAAAAGGAAACCATTTTATTAAGAAAAGACTGTTTAAATTGCTTAAATTATAAATCCTCGCAAACTATTTATTAGTGCTGATGAATGAAATGCGAGAACTAATATCCTTGACATTTGACATAATTAATTTATACTAATTGTTAAATTCCATTGATAATAATTTCTTCAAATAATTCATCGGTAGATATATCCCATTTTCTTTTGTTTTATTCAACCAGTATATAGGTTTTGCAATATCTTCTTAGTCCAATACCCTTAATAAAAACATTTCCAAGACTGTATTGGCCATCGGTATAATCATTTTCTGTTCCTTTTTTATGCCAATCAAATGCTTTAACCTAATTCATATTAATTCCGAAACCATTTTTATAACAGTTTCCTATTAAACATTGTGACCTATTATGTTCCTTTTCGGCTGCCTTCAGGTATCATTTTAATTCTTCATCACGCCTACATCATCATTGTAATGATGTCCAACATTAAACATTGCTTAGATACTTCCAACAAGAGCTGATTTTGTATCCCATTGCAATGATTTGATTACATCTTTTTTTATTCCTGTTCCATCATAATAACACGCATTAACATTCAATTGAGCTATAACATTTCCTTTTTATGCAGATTTCAAATATAATTCAAATGCTTTTTCTTCATTTTTTTTCAACACCAAGCCATAATGATAACAATATGCTATGGCCCTCAAAGTTATATGAGACCTTTTGTCAGCAAGATTATTATGAATCTGAAAAGCTTTTTCTGTTTCCTTTTCAACTCCCTGACCATCAAAATACATATGCGCAATTGAGATGATACTAATTTCTTTGTACAGTTTTCTTAAGGATGAAGAATTAGAAGAGGGAAAATCAATTATTTCATTGACAGCCAAATTAAAGAATTTCAAAGCCATTTGAAATCAACAACCGTCCCAATACCATACTGATAAAAAAATCATATAAAGCTGGTAAACAAATAATATGGTGGATGGAGAATCATTTTACATAGAATTTTAACTGGATTCTTTTTGTGTTCTAAAATATAATTAATGATCATAATTAATGATCATAATTGGTCGAATATTTTCGAACTCTTTTTTTCGTGCATCAATGAAATCTTTAACCAAAGGTAGATCAGGTTTAATTTCAGGTTCATTTTGTCTTAATAAAGAAGAATTTTATTTTTAAAAAATGTTCCGAAGATTTAAAAACATTAAAAATGCAACTTAATTAAAATTTTCTATGACATTATGAAGTTGTGATTGAGAAATTTCAAATTCAATGCATGTTTCAGAGATAATGATTTTGGAAAGATTTTTTACAATTTGAAAATTTCTGGTCGTGAGTTTCATTGTGATTCCAGCATTCTTTCGAAAATATAACATTAATAATTTACTATGTAAACAATATAATTGATTTTAATTTATTATTTAAATTTATGCCAGTATATATTTCCTTGTATTTGTGAAGTGTTCCAG